GCCTTCAGCTGGTTAAAAATTCTGTCTGGTCTTAAAATTGTCCTCTGTATGAAAATTCTCCCCTGAGAACTGAAGAGCATAGAGCATCGCTGTGGGCTGTTAATTCTTCATAGTGGTTGTGAACTGATCAAGTTCGTGAGTGGGATAAATTCTTCACCTGATAATGAATGAGGAAACTGTTTGAGACTCAGTATTAGACAAGGGATTAGCAGTCCTATTCCATCTGATAGGAACACAAGTCCTAGCTTCAAGTTTATAGTCTCTGAAACAACAGAGAACATGTACTTTGGGGAAATTTAAACTGCAGGATGTTCTGGGAAGCCAAAAGGTTTCAGCGCCTGTCAATAATTGCCTAGGCTGCAAAATAATCAGTGTGTTGTATGTGTCTGCTGTGCTGCAATCCTTCATATATCTTAGGCCAAGCAGGAGAGGAAGAGCATTTCTTATAAGAAATTGTAAGAACAATACAATATTCTGAACAATACAGTTGTTCTGATAAGAACAATACAAGAGTCAGAAAGCTTGTATTTGAGCCCAATGCTAAGCAGTTAGAGCTGGGTGACAGCTGAATTACTTTATTCTTTAGTGCCATAAATATAAAGTTAAATTTTGAAGGAAGCTTGCTTAGAGACAGCATGAGAACGGTCTTTTAGGATGCTAGCAGGAAGCAAATTCAGATTTGGACTTGGGAAGTTCCTTACTAGTTGTGAAACAACATGGAACTGCTGACCATGGTGTCCGATGGTTAGAGACGTGAAAAACAAATCAGCTGAGTTACAGGCAGAGTTTTATCTATTGAAAGTATTAGGCAAATGACTCGGAATTGCAAATTCAATAAAATAGCAATCTGCTTATAGAGTTTTTAAGGACAAAAATTTTCTGAATAAATAACCCACAATGGATGAGGTGTGACACTTTGAAACATGTCCTGGTTTCATAGCAATCCTCACTGCCTTCTGTGCAGGGTCTGGAGATTGCAATCTGTAGATATCCACTATTAATGCTCCCTAATTGATGACATCCAGAGTTCTCAGCAGAGAAGTGAATGCAGTGATGGAGTTTTAGAGTGGAAAAGGTCCACAAGAGTGAAAGCCTTTAGACCACCCACTTGGAAAGAAATGAAGAATCTGCACTGTCTAATAATCATGACCTGTGATGGGAGAGACAGGACTGGTGATTTCTGGTGGGCACTTGAGACAACCCACCTATTGATGACCAGAGGCACCCTCCCTCCCTCCCCAGCTGCATAAACAGACTCATTTTGCAGAGAAAGATTACAAAAATCGTGCTGGCAACTCTCTTTCTGGGCTGTATACTTAATAATAATCAAAGCCAAATGTAAATAAAGTATCTCTGATGAGAGAAGCATGCTGCCCAAATTTGCTTCCTATTTATACCAGTTAAGTGTGGATAAAATCCAGGTCATTGTTTTCTGTAATCTACTACCCACCCAATCAGAGCTGGGAAAGCTTCTGACAGGGGCTTGTTTTTAATATCAGGGCTCTGTTTAATGTCAGCTTCTTCAAATGAAATCAACATTATCACCCAACATTAATGTGATTACTTTTGCAAGTTGCAAGTGATGAATAGCAGAGTAATGCAGGAAAAACAAGCACAGTAATAAAAAAGAAGGGATTTTTCAAGTGGAGAAATGTATATCAGTTTTCTCTGTGGCTGATGTTTTGACTTCCATCTGTTCTAGCTTACTCCTCCTCTACGAAAAATAGAAATGTAAAAATCAGAAGGGGCAAAGATAATAGGCTTGTTGTAAATTGTGTGCCAGCTAGTAAATTTCTAAGATTTGCTGTCACTTCCTATGAAGTCAGAAAGGAAACGTCAGTGGAAGCAAGACTATCGAGTAACCAGCAGCCAATTCAAAGTTGCTTGGAACTGCGTTGGATTTGCATTTGGTGAGAGTCTCTGTCCATCATAACTCAGAATCATGAAGGCTTTGCTACAAACCATTGTACGTATGTCACCACCTTTTCTTGGTTGTCGTTCCCTCTTCAGGAAAACTCTGCAGAGCTTGTAAGGGTGATAGTGTTGCATGCATTCTGGTAGTCTAAAATACTGATTCGTTGGTGGTGATATTCTCGCAAACCAACAATTGCCCCTGAAATTAGGCTTAAAGGTGTGTTTAGAAGGGAGACAAGGGGTTCATTCATCAGAGTATGGAATGCTTTGCTTCCTTGAAAGTTATCTGGCTGCTAGATAGTGGTGCCGATGTCAATTGTTAGCTGTTCCAGTACTGTTTCCAGTGAATGCATATTTGGGTTATGCAATCTGTTGGAATAAGATGCTTTAATTCGCTCCACAGTTTCTGATGTTTCACTGTGCAGAAGCAAAGAATAAATGGACAAGGTGGCTGGACTTGATTTTATACTTAAGCTGAGGCTAAAGAGATTGAGTTGAATTTGTCCGATGCTGAAAGCAACTTTGAGAGAATTGTTTTGTTTTTTTTTTAAAGCCTGGATGAGTAGCTGGGGTTGAACATTCAGGGATTCTGTAGAATGGATTACTTGACCTTGCCTCTCAATGGTCAAAGTTGCCTGTTCCCGATGAGAAGAAACGATGCAATATAGTCTTGACCTCCTCAGTAACGATGCCATAAACAGCTGTATCGATTTCTACACTATCTGGATGAGATATTCCTTCTAAGCTGTTAGTGCCAGCTTAGAAGGAGTAAAATTTGGCCAGCCTCTGTGTTTCTTTTTATCTGTACACCCTGGTGTATGCAGGCATAATTGGCTGCTCTTTAGATTTTTGGTTTAAAGGCAGAGCTAGGAGACTATTTGAGTGTGGATGTGGGATTCCTAAAGGTACTTTATTTTCAGCTAATCATCTGTGGTACCAAAAGAAGCACATTAATAGTCGATTTCCAGTTTATATTAGATTGTAGAGGTTGAGGAAACCAATGAACACTCATTTCTTCAGACAGAACTGAAACTTCAGGCCTTTAAATGCTTTCTTCCCACTACGTCTATGAAGAGTTGTCATTCTGAAGTCTTGAGTTGCTGTTGACAAGCTGATTAATTGTTTTTCAGTGAGAGCTAGTGTTACCACCCAATACTGGGGGCACATTATGGTAGTTGTGATGACCAAATTATGGGAGGAGAGGCTTTCTATACTGTAGAATGTGCAGTCTAAAAAGTTCTGGCAAATGCTGTTGTGTTTCCATTTTACACATGGGGAAGTGAGAGATGGAAATGCTAGGAGTAAGGAGCTCTGGAAGCAGAGCCTGAAATTGAAACCTTCATTTTTTTAACACCACACAGCCTTTGACTTTGAGGCACTTCCTAGAGGACAGCAGTCAGTCCCTGAGTCATCATTGCTGGTATGTGCTAGTTGCAGAAGAGGATTCAAGGCTTGAATAAATGGTATCATCTCAACTGCCCTTCAGTATATGGCAAGATGAAAAACTAGTATCAGTTCTGAGAAGGATGATGAAGGGATGCTACTGTTCAGCTTCTCTTCAAACCAAAGCTCGGTGCTATTGCAGGAGGGAAGGAGCTTTGTTTTTGCTCTGTGACTTGAAAGAAGATTTGATCTTCTTGGGTAGCCAGTTTAAGTGTTTTCACAGCCATTTTGTATGCCTACAGATGTGCCTAGAAGCTGGGCGATCAAAGGGGATACGGAAGTGACATAGCAGGAGAATTTGTTACAGCCTTACACTTCAATTATTTCACTTTGCAGAAATGAATGGTTTAGATACATGTATAAAAAATTGAGATCAGATCTTATATATGTCTGTTACCTTTTATTGAGTCCCTTAAAACCCTTTATGGACATAAATTATTAGGCCCAGGTGCCTTAGGCAGGAAGAAAACTACTCAGTTTTTTTTATTTCACTGCTAAGCAATTTGAAACAGAGGAGTGAAGGCTAGCCACAGTGGACTTCACAGCCAGGTATTTAGGGTGGCTCTTGGTTTTTCAAACCATGTTACTTTAATAATTAGCAAGAACTGTCAATTAACTTGCAGTGCGTACAGTTGCACAGCGTCATGTATAATTCCTTTCCTCCTTTATGAAGGTTTTCTATCCTGTAATTGAAGAGCAGATCCCTTGGACCTGGGAAGGAGTTTTGCGTTTGGAGAGTGTGTTTTAAAATGTCAGTCTGTCTTTGAAGCCTATTATGTTTATTTCTTGACCAGGTGTCTTATCAAGCTGAGCCTTTCTTGTTTCAGGGAAAGGACCGTTCTTGGCAAAATACAGCACTTACAGATTATGGGTCTTCTAATGAGAGGAGCAGGCAGAGGAGTTTGCTTTGTAGAGGAAAATTCATAAAATATCTCTAGAAAAAGATGAATCACTGCTGCCTTCAAGTAAATGGCGTTCTTACTGAGGGGATTATCTACAGGAATGTTTGTGTGTCTGACAACATTCGCACAGCCAGGGGTTAGTAAGAAATTGTTCTGAAGCGTCTTATGCATGTGAAATGGTCAAGACAATGTGACTTTGATATAGCTGTACTGCCCAGACAAGATGGTGTAGGTATGGGGATAGGAACACGTAGCACAGACCAAGGGAAATGCGGTTTTATGGGTCAGATACTAATAGAAATCATCAAGGAATGTTGTTTAACATTTTCTGTGCTGCTAGGCCTATCCATACCAAACTCAAATTGTGTTGTCTGCTGCTTTTTCAAGATATGTACCTTCCTGTTGACGTCAACTTCTCACGGCCATTCTAATTGATGTTCTAATACCATTATAGTACTTGTTCATGCCTGCTACTTCTGCCTCGATCCATTTATGGCTTGCCCATGAACGGAGCCATAGACAAATGAGAAAGTTACGAAAAAGGTAGGTAGGCAGGCGGGCCAGCCAGGGCTTTCTAGCTGTTGAATGAAATCAGGTTCTGCAAAGAGCTTGGTTTCGGCATAAGGATCCTCCTGCAGAGTTATCCGTAGCTGTCATGCGAACGTGGCGCTACTCACAGTGCAACGTCTTCCTTGCTTTTCCTCTGTGCTTAGTAATACTCCATTTATTTTGTTTTTACAGTCCCTCGGATCAATGGCCATCCGAAACTGGACAGACACCGTGAGCACCCTCCTGGTTATGACAGCTCTTCTACCATGATGAGTAGTGAGCTGGAATCCAGCAGCTTCATTGACTCTGATGATGATGACAACACAAGCAGGTAGGGCATTGGCGTAGTGACTGAGCTGTTAAATACTGTTTGCATCTGCCACTCGACTGTATTGTGGGCTTTCCTGAAACATGCTGACTGGCGAGATGAGAAGATTTATATTGGCTGATTTTTTTTTCCCCCTCCTTTTTTTTTTTTAAATTTTCCTTTCTTTTCCTTTTTTTCTGCTACATATGGTTTGAGTACTCATAATTCATCAGTAATATCATGTTATATATAATCACTGCTCTGAGAAACGAGCTAAGTTATTGGGGTCGCTGTCCCAGCTGCCTATAGCCACTGTTCCAATTAAGAGAAAAATTCTGTTCCTGTTCTTTCCTTTTAATAGCAAGAATGATCAAAGCAATGTGCAACTGTGTACCTATTTATAAAGTAATGGTGTGAATATTGTAACAAAATACCTTCAGCATAGATTCCTAATAAGTATGCACTTCACTAAAGCTGAATTGTAAAGGAATTCCTATGTAATTGCATAGTCTGAGACCTATGAGCAGTACAGGAATTCATCAAGGTTAATGCTATTGCAAAGGCAGGCTGGGATGCCATATATTTATGACTTCATAATTATTTTTTTTCTTTTTGTTCGGACAGAGAGAATGTGAATTATTCCTTCCTTTTTGCAAAAAAGCTCTCCATTTCAAGACATCCTTGTTAATCTCTAAATATATTCTTGTTGTTCTGTAAAAGGTTTATAAGCCAATACATTTCTTGGATTCAAAATAGCTATTTTTAAAGATGTAAAATCAATCAAAACTAATATTCTTCCCTTTCCTGGCTGCAGTGACAGCATTCTCTGAACACTGTCTCTAGAGCTGTTGTTCATCCAAGTGAGCTATGAAAACCCATTACGGATTTCTATTAATTGTTAGAGAACAAGAAGATTACAGATCTCTGATGGTTCATAGAGATCTGTAGCTAAAACAAATAAGGTGCAATGTGATATTCTTAAATTCTAGGTAGAATGGAAACAGCAAAGAACAACTAGTCTTGGAGATACTTAAACATTTGCTATGTTTACAAACAGATTATTAGCTGATTGAACTCAGTAGATCTATTTGGTTTTGCAGTTAGTCATAGCTTAGAAACCTCTTGAAGAACAGCAGTTCCTTCAAATTCTGTTTAAAGGCTGGGTGTTTCCAAAGGTTGAAAGGGTAACTAAATGAACATTTAAGATTTGGTCCTGAATTAGTTTCAAGAATTTATTTTGCAGTTACAGTGAAGTTGCCAACACCTGAAGATACAGAAAGTTAGCCTTCTGGATGCTTTGTACTTCCCCTGCATATTCATGTGCATAAAGGGTTGGTAAGATCAGTAGTTAACCTGAATGTACTCTAAGCCTTCTTAAAGCCTTCAGGGCTTCTAACCCTCTTTCCCTCCCTACAAAGATCAAGCCCACA